ACGCTGGCCCAGTGCGGGTTGGTGGGGAGCGCCAGATCCTCGTCCGTTGGTCGGCAGGGTACACCGCGGGCAGGTGAGGTTGGCTTGGGTGCCGTTGGGTGTTAGGCGGCACCCCTTATACAAAAAAGTCGATGCTAGGAAAAAAACAAGTAATTAAACAGCAAAAAAATGTATCTTGGCAAAAAATGTGCTCAACCTTCGATAGCACCTATTAGTCAAATATGGAATATTGTCAAAGTATTTAATAGAAATGCTTTAAACAGAATCACCTCAAACCAACCCCCTGTAAATAACAATACTTTAAATGATGTTTTCAATAACAATGAACTAAATGATCATTTGATAACACCGTTTACTGCTGATGAATTCATATTCTCATTAAATAAAAGAAAAGATAGCACTCCGAGGCTAGACAATATTCCATATATCTTAATAAAACGGCTTCATTCTGCAGCTAAAATAGTTTTGCTACATATATATAACAGTCTATGGCAACAAAACATTATCCCGGAGACTTGGAAAACTATAGCAGTTGTCCCTATTTTAAAATCTGTTAAGGACCCATTATTAGCCGAATCCTACAGACCTATATCACTTTCTTCCTGTCTATGTTAATTATTCGAAAATATGTTAAAAACTAGATTAGAGCTCTATGTAGAATCGAGGTCTATCATTCCTTCAGATTAATTTGGGTTCCGTAAAGGACGTAGTACTTTGTTTACAGATAGTTTGGTTAAATTTTGCGGAGATATACAAAATGCCTTTTTTGATAACAGTTATTTAATTTGCAAAACATTCTTCATTCTTTTAATATACCAGGGAAAATATGTCAATGGATCTATAATTATTTCAATTCACGTTCTGTTTATGTCAAATATGTATAATAATATTCTACACGGTCCAAAATTGGCACATAAAGGAGTAATGCAAGGGGCCACTTTCTCACCTTTAATGTATTTATTATATACGTCATTGTTACATAAATATGTGCATTTAAAAAAAATATCAGTTCTTCAATATGCAGATGATATTGTAATTTATACAAAAAATAAAAATTTAACACAAGGTGTAAATTCATTAAACGAAGGACTAGATTCGCTTTGTTCTTTTTATAAAGATATGCTCCACTTAGATATTAATCCACATAAAAGTTCTTCTTTGATTTTTAGTAATAAGATAGATTATAACGCTGTTAATAAAAATATTGTATATGACTCTGTAAATATCAAATTAGTAAATGAAAAAAGATTTTTAGGTGTAATGTTTGATTCTAAAATGCATTTTAAGTCTCATGTTGTAAATTCTGTACAAAAAATGCAAAAAAGCATAAATATTATGAGATGCCTCGCGAGTGTTGATTGGGGCATGGACCCCAAATTACTGAACATGATTTTTAAATCCATTGTTGGAAGCCATTATGATTATGGTTTAATAATTTACGGGAAATTTTTAAGCCAACATTTATTTAAGAAAATAGAAGTAACCCAAAATAAGGGATTAAGAATTATTACTGGAGCAATGTGCTCAACTCCTATAAATTCGCTTGAAATAGAGGCAGGTATACCGCCCATTCTTGTTAGACTACGTTACCTTACTGAAAAGTTTTATGTTAAAGTTTTAGCGTCCAAAGAATACTCAAGTTTATATAAACACAATAGACTATTGCAAAATGATTATATTTTTGAATTAAATAATATTTGTGAATGTATAGACCATAAAGGCAAATAGGATTTAAGCTCATTAGTACAATTTACTACACCTTCTGTTCTTTCTGAGAGAATATCAAATAATATTGACTTTTTATATTTTGTTAATACTGAGAAAAAAGAATACCGACGGATATATACAGATGGATCTAAAACGGAAAACAGTACAAAAGCAGCATATTACGACGATTTGTCAAAATTTGGGCGTTGTTTCACTTTAAACGAAAATTCTTCGATCTTTACTGCGGAAGCATATGCTATATGTGCAGCTTTACAGTATGCCATTGCTTTAGCTGACATCAATATTTTAATAGTGACTGACTCATTAAGTGTTTTAAGTTGCCTAGAAAATATTCAAATATCCTATAAGAATAATATATTTATTAATAAAATAAGACAGTACATTTACGATTATCCTGAAAAACAAATTGAGTGCTTATGGGTGCCATCCCATAACGGGATAACAGGGAACGAAACTGTTGACAGATTAATGAAAATTCCAACTCCTGCCTACAATAATCCATAATATGCACTTCCACCTGTTCCAATGACGGATTACCATTCAGTTCTCAAGCATCGCATGTTCAAACATTGGCATGAAGATTGGGAATTTACCAAACAATTTAAGGGAAAGTGGTACGCAAGTATCCAAGAAAAGATTCCAGTAAAGCCCTGGTACTTCAGTCTTCAATCTTCAAATAGAAGATTCATAACTACTATTAACAGGCTCAGATTAGGTCACGGAAGATTCGGTGCACACTTACACATGGACCTATAAAAAAAGGCGGACAGAGTCCCGGTAAACAATAAACTGTGTCGCTCAGAGTCGGCCAGGTCGCTGTACGTACAAGCCGGCACGCACATATTCACACAATAGTCAGCCACTACGCGTGCAAACGTCAAAGCAGCCGACACGTTACGTGGAGATAAAAAATAAGCTAAACAAGATATCTTGGTTGTAGTGACCGAAATCCAGGAATCACGTTTCATAGGTAAATGAAAAATTGAATCACTTTTTTCTAGTTTTTAGAAATCGAAATCAATTTTAATTCTAAGGACAAAATGATTAGTCTAAAGCCTAGTGTTGCCAATGTTCATGTAACCATAATACGTAAAATATGGGAAATTGGTTTGACATTAACTTCAATCTATTATTATTTATTAATCCTTTTTTATCAGATTTCCTAAAGAAAATGTAGTATGGAGAAATTACTAGAAAATTAATGATTTCCAAACAAATATGTAGTAGTGTCATTTTTAGTCTTCATTTTGAAGCTCAAGACTTATATAGAACTAAAGGAGGACTCCGGCGTGTTATAACGTATGCATTACCTCAAAAGGTTGATTAAAATTTTTAACCGACTTCGAAAAGAAAGAGGTTCGCAATGCGTTATATTTGTTTTTTTTTAATGTTGTTCGCGCAGATCTCCGAGATTCGTGGACCTTTTATGATGATTATTTTTTTGTTATAATCAGTTTACTAGCGAGATGGCCGCATATTAATTTACTGTGTTCAATAGGTGTTAGTTTATTTTAAGAAATGTGAAAGAGAATGCAGGCCAGGCCATCTATATTTAGTTAATTTACCCAATATTGAGAAAATTCGATACGTCCTAGAATTTCTAATGAGTCCCGACTGTTAAAGGAACTTTGTTCCTTATTAAACAGAATTCTAGACTACTGGACTTGTTTTTTTCTTTTTAGTACATTTTTTTTTATTTTCGACATTTTAATTTCATTATTTTTTAATTACACGAGTTAGAAAATATATTCTAAATATTCTTTTAAAACCCTTCACTTTGATACCTCGCTTGACGGGTTATAAAAATACTTATACTTTTTTTTCAAAATGTTTCATTTTGGCGCATAAAATCTGTTATATTGATTTTTACAAATTTTAATATACCGAATGCCACTCACACAATCACAACAAATCAAATGACACCTCGCATGTCAAAATCCGTCAAGACGTTCAGGCTGTAGGGCGTGCCAAATTATTGGACATACATGCATACATACGCTCGAAAAACATTATCCTCCGCAGTCGGGCAAAAAGTAAAATTTTGAACAATCAAAATATTTTCATGTTTTTACTGTGTTTTATTGGTAAAAAATTGGCTAACCTAGCAACCCTACAATTCACTCACTCATCAATAGCCGCCGCCATTACGGTGCCTCAGTATTGTCTAAGGGTGCGGCCAGAGTGCACTCAGATTCAGACTCAGATTCAGATTTCGAATACAAGCGCGAGAAATAAACAGTGTAGTCTAAGCAGGTTGCCTGCTTTTTCTCGCGCTTTGTTTTCTGAGTCTGAATCTGAATCTGAATCAGGAGTGCACTCTGGCCGTACCCTTCGACTACAGTGTTTATTTCTCGCGCTTGTTTTCGGAATCTGAATCTGAGTGCACTCTGGCCGCACCCTAAGGGTGCGGCCAGAGTGCACTCAGATTCAGATTCAGATTCTGAAAACAAACGCGAGAAATAAACAGTGTAGTCTAAGCAGGTTGCCTGCTTTTTCTCGCGCTTTGTTTTCTGAGTCTGAATCTGAATCTGAATCAGGAGTGCACTCTGGCCGTACCCTTCGACTACAGTGTTTATTTCTCGCGCTTGTTTTCGAAATCTGAATCTGAGTCTGAATCTGAGTGCACTCTGGCCGCACCCTTAGGGTGAGTGCACTCTGGCCGCACCCTTAGACGAAACTCTGTCCGTCTTTTTTTATACGTCCATGCACTTACATAGATTAAACTTAAAATCTTCAGGAACTTGTAAATATTGCAAAAAAAAATGGTTGCCTGTAAAGTCGGTTTTACGGGCGAAGATTTTACGTGACAACGTCTTTTTCTCGGTAGAATATTTATTGATATGAATATAATTAAATTGCACAATAGGAACAAGGAATTGAATGAATATAAGAATTGCACAAATTTTAACTATAGAAATATATTTTGTTTACTAAAACATTGTACATGTAAACTTAAACTTAACACGAGAGACTCATCGTAACGTTACCGAGCGTTACACTTTTTCATAAGTGACTCCCAGCCGCAACCTAATTTAAGACGTTGTCACGTCAAAATGATGAAGCTACACTAGATCACCTTATTTTACATTGTCCCGCCTTCAACATATCAAGAATTATTTTAGTAGATGGCCTACTGAAGATATTTAAAGATGATGACATTCCCCGCCTCTTGCCATCTATTCTCAAGAATTGTAAAACATATAAAATTTTATATTACTTCATCTCCGCTACGTTTGTGCACTTGTAAAAGAAAAAAGATACCGCCTTAAATAACAAAGATAAATATGAAATGAACTCATAATAATGAAGAATTGGCTGTATGGATATCATCCAAGGCCGTTAAACTATTAAAAAAAAACTTTAATAAAAAAAAAAGGTTGACAGCACAACAAAAATACGCACGTGTGGTGGTTAGGTTTTTGGATACTCTATTAAATTATAACATTAGCTTGAAATAAATAAATATCTTTAGTGACTTTTACAATTTAATAAAATTAAAATGTCGTCGTGGAGAAAGGCTGCCAAAGCAAATCAGAAAACCCACAAAGAGAGACACCAGCCAGAGTCCAGGAAACACCTTGGGCTGTTAGAAAAGAAAAAAGATTACAAGAAAAGGGCTGAAGACTATCATGAAAAAGGACAGACCCTCAAGCTTTTGCGGAAGCGCACACTTGATAAAAATCCTGATGAGTTTTATTATCACATGATAAACTCCAGAGTAAAAGGTGGTGTGAGTAAAATTGGTTACTAATAACCCGTGTAGTGTAGTGCTTGATGAAATCACAAATTATATTTCTTTTCTTTCTTAGATCCATCATGAATTGGAAAAAGATGACGAATATACCCCAGAACAGGTGAAATTGATGCAAACACAAGATATTAAGTACATCAATATGAAGAGAACTATTGAAAGCAGGCGAATTAATAGATTACAGGTATTTATCGAAAGTATTCATTCCAAAGCTGTGATTTCAATGCCTCCTTGACCTTATTTGTATTTTAAAGATGTTTTTAACATGATTATGTATAGGGTGGATAAAGATGTATTTTAATACTTACTAATCGTATTGTTCCGTTTTCTACTATCAATGTTCAATTCAACCCAATAGCTTTCCCTTTTTATAACCTTTCTGTTTTAAATATTTAACCGTGAAAGTTCTTGTAAATAAAGATTGGTTTTTACTTAAAGAAAATATAATAATTAGCTTTTCTTTTTCAGTCCCACTTGCATATGACCGAGATAGCAGATTCAACCCCAAACACCCACATTTTCTATGTGGATGAGGGAGAAGAGAAGACATTTGATGTTGCCAAGAGGCTCGACACCCATCCTTCACTACTGGGCAGAAAATCGAACAGACCTAGACTGTCTGATTTAAACAAACTGGCTTTACCAAATGTTGATCCAAAAGTATGTTGGTGACAGTATTACTTATTTTTAAGAATTTCTATTTATAATACAAAAGTTTCGCTGTGAAAACTTGATCGATTGTGTGTGTTTTTTATGTTGAAAGCATGCCAAACAAGCATATGACCTGTCTGATGGCAAGTGGCACCATATCTCTAAACACGTGTGATATCAAAAATATTACTCGCTGACTCTGTCGCTTCAGCCCTGCCTACGCTGCCTTAAATCCAGCACTGATCATATTTAAAAATGTATTCCAAAGCTTATTGAAAAAGCCCTTTTCTTAGGAGCATTTATTTCATTTAATATTATTTGTATAAAATATTTATTAATTAAAGATATTAACACATAAATAAGGGGATTCACACTTTCTTTTTTTAAAACAATAAACAGACATACATTATTTCATTCCATCGATATCACATATGGCCAACTCTTTTGCTTTTGTGTTCTACAGATTTATTGAGTGATTCCTCAGATTCCTTTCAAAAGAACATATTATTTTAAAAACCATCATAGCCAATTTTGTAATTCAGGTTTATCATATAGGGCTATCCTCATACATATCACATATGGCAGGCTCTTTTGCTTTTGTGTTCTACAGATTAATTCTGTGAACCCTAATACTCCTTTCAAAAAAACACATTATTTTAAATCCATCATAGCCTATTTTGTAATTCAGACATTTTATTTCAGACAGTGGAAAGCATAAAGAAAAAGAAAGAAAGAACTTATAAAGAGATAACCAAAAGGATAGAGAGAGAAAAGGAACTTACATTGATTCAGAGGAAAATGGAAATGAAACGCCATCTCCAGGATGCTAAAATACTTAAGCCAAAGAAAATCAAGAAGGGAACCAAGGTCTCTGCACCTGTATATGAATTTCCTTATATCAGAAAAAAATAAAAATACATGTTTGTTTTGTATATATTTATCTTTTAATTGTAATAAATATTTTTCAGTTTTTATAAATTGACAATGCACAAATTTCAAACACTTTGTAATCATAACAGTTATTTTAAAATATGTCCAATCAGTACAATCATATTAATATTCTTGTTAAACCTAATTTGATAGTCATTCCTTAAAACACTGGAAGTTATCCTTCGTTCAGTCTTCATAATGTTTTATGATCCTAATTTACATAAAAATATGCACATACCAATGGTTCTGCTATAATTCAGCGCATTGTTACGCTGTTTCAAAGATATTATTTGTACAATTATATTAAAACTAAGGCGGTAACTTTAAGGTAACCTAGCAGAGTAAATGTCTTTGGTGGACTTAAATCTAAGATCACAAATTAGCTTGAGCGTCGGTCACCACAACACACACTTGTGTTCGGGGTTCATGGGTGATCCGAGCGGGCACTGCCACGCGTCGGCGAACTCCTTGGAGTTGCTCAGAGTGCCTATCACTCTGATTTTGTTGGGACTGTGCACGCCTTCCACCATTTTGGATTTGAGCGCGCCAACAGTCGAGTTCCCGCACCATATCTTAAACGAAACGTATTATTTATTAGAGACATAAAAAATGCATATAAGATATTTTATAGAATACTAGTACGTGTTCGCGACTTCGTCTGCATGTAAAAATTTAGTTTTAGTACGAAGACCTGCGTGGTTGATTCTCCCTTTCGACATGGACAGGCTGGTGATGGTGATACCTGCGCGAATCTCATGAATACTCTAGAGTATTCATGAGATACTCTAGAGTATTCATGAGCCTACTTACTGCTGAAGCATAGTTTTCCTATGATCCAACTTGTTATTAGGCTTGTTGATAACGTTACCTACGTGAATCCTAGGAAGCACAGCCCAAGCAGCATCACAAGCTGTATAACAGCTCTGTTAAAGTTCGTTTATACTCTTAATGCTGTATCTCTTGGCCGCATCAAGGCTGTATAAGCGCTTATACAGCCCTTATACCCCTGAAATAGGCACAAATTATACAGCGTTTTGCGTTATATTAGCTGTACAGTAGCTGTATAAGCATAAAATAGGCTGCATAATAGCTGTTTTGCGGCTGTACTATGGTGTTCGAGGAAGGAATTCAATACACTCCAATTACTACCTTGTAACTCACTTGTTAAGCTTTACGTTGTAAAAAGTCTGTTGAACAGAGTTACAAAAGAATTAAAACGAAATAGAAGATATATTGTAATGATGGCGTTTATAATCACTATTGATCAAAGTGACATTTATTATAACGCTTTGTGTTTAATGATTTGGAGATTCGATAGGCGCAGGATACAGTGCATTATCGTGCAAAAATAAATTTATTGTGGACATATATATGTTTTGTGATAAAAAATAAACGCGCCAGCAAAATAACCAGGGAAGAGATATTAAATAAGGTTATTAAATATGGTTTTTATAGGTTAGAATTTAAAAATGTTTGAATTAATGGACGTAGAGCCTCATTGGTGCATAGTAGGTTATTGGACAAACTGAAAATATTGATAAACATAAAAACATTAGTCTAATTTTTATGTACTCATGTTCGTAATCTTCGATTTGTAATTGATACAATGGCGACAATTTGCTAAGCAGCCTAAATTCTATTTTGATGGTATTATAGCATTAGTAGCTGTACTATGTAGGTAATGGATACTAGTATTCAGCTTTTAGCGGTTGATGGGCTGTATAAACGAATAAATTTACTATTAATGTTGCATTGCAGTGTTTCGAACATAACCTGTAACTCTTTCTAGGGATACGTAATATTAAGTGAAAAACCAAAATGCACTGAGAGATCACATCACGTTTTCGAAAATAAAGTATTAAAGTTATTTTTTAGAAATTTCAAAGCAATTATTGTAGATTTGCGTCGTAGAATTTGTAAAGAAATAAATAAAGTGATTCTCATAGTTCATTACTTAAGTGAAAGAAAAGTAGTAGCATTACTTAAGTGAATTGCAATCTTTTTATATTTATGCATAATGATTTACTTATATTCTACTGTTTCAATTCTATTCCCTTTAATGTAAGCTCCCGCAGGAGAATCGCATATAAAACATCTTATTCCTATAGATACTTTACTCTTGATTTGTTCAACGTACATTTCATTTTTAATTAGGTTGGCAATTTCGTTTAAAAATTCATTTAAATATTCGTCAATTTGCTTTAGTTTTCCAACACCAAAATAAATACCAATCACCAACGGTTCTACATCAGGTCTTTCAAATATAGTACATAAAATCGGCCAAAACTCTTTATTAGAACTATTAAATATTGGAAGACCGTCAAAATTGAAATTCAAACAAATTTTACTCGGAACGTCAACCCATTTTTCTAATATATTTTTTAAAGATTTAGTTAGGCCGTTATGCCAATATTCACCTCCTTGAATCGGTTTGATTTGTATTTGCTTTGCAGTACCTAAAATTGTTCTGGCATTGCATGGTAAAATTCCTGGAAATCTTAAGTTTATGATAGTAGCTAAATCATTCATATTCACTTTCGCCGTCACTTGAACTGCTGCATGATAAAATGTCATCAGTTGCAGAAGGTAAAGCTAATCTACACCTGATATAACTATGATCATTCACAATATTTTCTACGGAACCCCTTTTATTAGATGTCGACAGTATTGACGCTTGACTGTAGGTGATCTGATCTGTTGCAATATCTCCATGTGCCTCGGCAGTAATTTCATTTTGTTGATAATTTGTAATATTTAAATATTTCAATCTTTCTTCTAATAGCACCAAATCTTTTTCGCTTTTCCACATATTTATAAAACAATCACAAAAAACAGCATACAATGCACAATAATTCAAAATGGCGACTCTGTCACTTATACAGATTAAGGCTGTACTATAGGTGCCATTTATTTTTATTGCTGTTTATTACTCTCAAAGACAGAAATTAGACAGCTATCGTCTGTAAAAGGGTGTACAATTACACCAAAAAAAGAAGCTGTAGAAGAGAGTTTGCCTACTTCATAATACAGAAATAAGATTTGAGGACCACCATAATACAGCTCTAAGCTGTATTAAGTAAGTGAGGGTATGCAAAATGCAGCTATTGTACAGCTTTAATACTAAAATGAGATTAAAGCGTTACAGGAAATTTAAAGCTGTACATGACAGTTATCATACACTGATTTAGAACTTTAAGCGTACTTTGACTCCTTAATACAGACTTAATACAGTTAGAGCTGAATAATTACTCCTAGACCGACATTATAACACTATAATGGTATCAATTCTAGCGTGATTCTCTAAACTTAAAACTAAATTTAACATCAGCCTCTCCTTTTCATTCTGTATAGAGAATGACAAAGATATACTGCTGTCAAATTTAAGTTTAAGTTTAGAGAATCACGCTAGAATCGACACCAATATCTTTTCAACGTTCTTATACAGCTGTAAAACAGCGTTAAGTGCTATATTGGCTGCTTTTTAGGTGTTCATTACGCTTGGTTGCTGCTTGGGAGCTAGCTAACAGTGTACGGGAGCGCGGGCAGCTTGATCCCTTGCTTGGAAGGCACTTTCTTTTCAGTTATTCGTTAGTACCTAGTTCACTCTATGCTCAACAGGTTAATAGGCTGGTGAGGTTGATACCTGCGCGGATTCTAATAAGAGCAGCTGGTCGGTGCTATAGAACAGCGAGGGCAGCATAGTTCCGTGCTCGGAAGGCACATTCTCTGCTGTCGTTATTACTCACTAAAGATTCGCGTGGTTAGGCACGGCCCGTTCTTACTATGCTCTAGTAATACGGATATTGATGGGCTGCTTCCTAGTTCTCTTTGCGCCACAGAAGTGGGGACGTTGGTAGACTGGTGAGGTTGTTATCTGGGCGAATCCTAAGAAGAACAGTTGGTCGGGACTATACGGCATCGCGGGTAGATGGTCGCGTGCCGCGTGGTATGTCACGGTTTGTATTCTCTTTGAGAGGATGTTACATGCGTGGATCCCAAGAAGAACAGTTGGTCGGGGCTATAAGGCATCGCAGGCAGCGTGTGGCCCGCGGCGTGGTTGGTCACCATTCTCCCTGTGTGAGGTTTATACCTGTGCGAATCCTAAGAAGAACAGTTGGTCGGGGCTATAAGGCATCGCGGGCAGCGTGTCGCGCGCGGCGGCAGGATGCCTGGCGGCGTGCAGCGCGCGGGCGCGGAGTGCGGCGCGCAGGCCGCCGTTGTCCGCGATGTTCTCGCCCTGCGTGTTGAACCCGTGCACCTAAGGGAGAATCGTATCATATCATGATGAGTGAGAGAGATGGGCTGCCACGCATAGAGGTATAAGAATAGAGTGGGGAAGTCGACTCTAAAAGTGTCCGTCTAGTAGAAAGAGAAAGAAGATGAGAGACCGCTAGTTATCTCTCTCTCTCTTGGTAACGCAATAGCATCACATCGAAATAGTAAGATGCTTACTAGCCGTATTAGTAAGATGGTTGACAATGCGCATGAGCGATTAGTGAGAAAAGCTAGCATTCTCTCATCTCCTTTCTCTTTCTATTTGAGGAACACTTCCACTTGTAGTAGAGTCTTATATTTCCCCTACTCTATTGTTACCTATACCTCTATGATGCCACGTCCCCGCAGTGCCTTCGCCATGTTTGCCGAGGCGCATTCCGATGGTTTCGCGGCCATCATGAGTAAGCGTTGCGCTTTCCTACTCGGTGGGTGCGGGGAACATCAGGTGGGATAGAGTCATTTGCCTACCTGGCTATAAATCAAAACCCCGACACCCGAGTGCGTTAGCAGAACGGTGGGACTCCGCGATGCTAGCTGGGATACGACAGCCATATAGGCGAGCGAGGGCATCGTGAAGTGACATCGGTGTGTCAAATATTTATTTATTCAATCCGTGCGTGCTTATTATCTGATATTAGTATATAAGTAGAATCTATTTGTATGTAACCCACTATGGATCCATTGTTATCCGAAATAAATTATTAATATTAAAAAAAGGTGTCTACCAAGGTACTACTTTCCACCCTTAAAAATACAACCTATTTGAATTCATACGAAGTGTTACCGTATAATTAGGTAGCTGCGGCATGTGGTAGCGGCTGTACTGCTCGATGATGCACTGCACCTTGCCGTGGTAGTGCTCCAACGTGGCGGCCGACCACCACTGCTTTAGGTTACCCTCCTCGTCGTATCTGCGCCCTGGAGACAACAGAATAAACTTAACAAAAAGAAAATTCAATAGACAGGTTTCGAACCTTTCCGGGCGGATGCATCAACCAATTATGCTACCGATACCTTCATGGCTGTCTCGAATTTCTTTCAGTATATCTTAACCTGCAAGGCAGGGCCATCTCTTCGCATTCTAAGTAAACCACAATGTCAAACGTAATACTTTTGCAAGTGTGGATATAAACGTGTGTATATACGGGTGTTGTTTAATGATACATACAGTTTCTTGGTAATCCAATGTAGGTATTAGTGAATCCCACAATTTATCACACGTAACAATTATCACAATGTACACAGAAGGCTAATACGGTAACACAATACAACACGTAGAAACACAAATTATAAGCGAACAAACGAAATCAGTAACAACAATTGGTAAACAGATTTGAGCGCATCAACATCGGACATTGACTGGAGTTCACGCATTCAAAAAGGCGGTGGTTTTCGCGCGTTTCCACTGCACTATGCGAGTTACGTTTCTCCGGCATATTTATCGTATGAAGTGAATTAAGTTTATTGATGAATACTTATAAAAGATGTTAACTTATTATTAATGTGTCTGTGTAATGTATCTAGTGTGATGTAAATATTAAAGTTATGTAAATAGTTATAGTTTGTATATAAAGTTTAAATTAAATTAGTTTTTAGTTTGTGTAAATAAATATATTAAATATTTTAATAATAGTAGTTATATTAAATAAATAAAATAGAAGCCCGAAGCCCACACAAGCATTGAACTTGAAGGTGCAGGTTTGAATCCTGCCTGATGCTTGGACCGAGTGATTTTTTAAATACGTACTTACTAAACAATCTTTTAAGTTGATCTGAGAAGTGAAGCAATTTTATTCGTCCAATTATTGGGTTTCAGAATTTCCATTTCCGCCTAACCAATATGACTCAATCGTGCGTGAGATCTATGTTAGTTTACGAAATTGGTCTTACTTTATATCTTGCTATCTTACTTGCTACCATGAACGTGAAACAATGGATTGGCACGAAAAATAATATTCCTCATGATAACTTACCTTGATCATCAAATCCGTGCGTAACTTCATGTCCCATTATGGCTCCAATAGATCCATAATTGATCGCCCTAAAACAATCGATTAAGTATAATTTATTCTTTGCGAGCTTATGTTTACATTTAAGAAAATTGGCTCAATATTACTTACTCTATACCATTTCCGTAAAACGGTGGCTGCAGAATGCCGGCAGGGAATGCTACGGGAAAAACAAGTTGCAGTTTAACATTACTTAATATTAAAATACCAAAAGAAATAATTAATTTTTACCTTTCAATAAATTTAAAGTGTGTATAAAAACTTTTCTCCTTAAGAATGGTTACTATACTGTTCAAGATTTCATAAATGATATGGCACCTTGGGCTTAATATAATAGACCATTTATTTTGCTAATTTGGTTGAAAATTGTTTAAACGCCACTTCTAAATTTAAATAGTGCCTGGCTATATTTAACTTATTGTTAATAAATAATATCAATGCAATGAAAGTTGACATGGTTGACACATGGTGTCGTCTTTCAGTTGACGACACTATATGAAACAAAACAGTGAATAGAAAATAGCCCTTTCGAAATTTCTTGCCGGTTCTTCTCAGTACAAGCTCTCCCGCCGTAGATTTTCGAACCGATGGCGTAGGGTTTAACTTTCACAAGAGCTTGAACAGCCTAGCTAATTTGAGGGAAAAGTAATTAAAAGCTTTAGCTCTGCTTGCATACTTACTGACTGAATTGAGTGTTGCCGAATAAAATGCATTCACTGTAGTTGCGGTCGCTACCCATCTGACAAGAAACAATATAAACATTACGTATCGATCATAAAATAAGAACCTGTCTAACGACTAGGCTTGCCAGATGGCCGGGAAATCCGGGATTGACCCGGAATTTTGTAATTAGACCTTATTATCCCGGATTCCGATAATGTGCTAGTTTCGTAACAAAAAAAACTAATAACGAATGACACCGGTGGCCTGCTTGATGTCATTCAGATTCAGATCACCCCCCAGAATTAAATTTGGGGGGTGATGGGGGGTTTATGGGTACTTTATTTTTTCAAGGGAGGGTGCAAATGTCCCGGAATTGATAAGTCAGCATCTGGCAACCCTACTAACGAGGTAGGGACGTATTGACAACCTTGCAGTGTTTTGTGAGGTGGAGGAATTTACCCAATTTAAATTTTAGCAGAACTGTATTATTTAATCTAGATTTCTTGCTAAATTTAGTCTACTAGTGTAGGTAATCTTTTTGTTACCTGTTCCTGTCTGGTTTTTCTCTCAAAGAGTTGAGAGACTTCTTCACAGCAGCCCAGGTCAACTTCAGATAAGTTTCGAATAGACTTCCTTCTACTACTTCTGCCTGTGAAATAGAAAAACAACTTCTAGAATGACTATAATGATGTGAAATAGACTTGCAACTGTTTTTTTTTATATTCGGCCGAATACCGAATATCTACATATTATTCGGCCGAATACTAAATACTTAAATAATATATTTTGTTATTAGAGAAATAATTGGTAAAATGAAAAATTTAAATCGATTGATTACGTATATATTCATATTTTCATTTCTGTTATATAATCATTTAAGTAGTCATTGGTACATAACACATGTACATAATCATCTTCTGAATTGGAAAAATGGAGGATTCTATGTATTTGAATTGTGGTTATCAAAATTTAGAAGGGTAAGGTTCTCATTTCTTTTATAATCATTTATTAAGTAGTCATAGGTACATAAAACAGGTACATAATTTAATCATTTTCTGTATTAAACAAGTTAACAGTTTTTAATTCATTCAGTCATGTGATGAATCACACTAATATTATAAAGGTGAAAGTTTGTGAGTATGTGAGTGTGTATGTTTGTTACTTCTTCACGTCTAAACGGCTGAAGCGATTTTAATAAAATTTGGTATGGAGTTAGCTGACACCCTAGATTAACACATAGGCTACTTTTATCCCGAAAAATGTTAGGTTCCAGAGGGATTTTAAAGAAACTAAGTTAACGCAGACGAAGCCGCGGGCGACCTCTAGTGGTTACATAATAGCAATAATTTAAAGCGCCGTTTTTGGCCATATCTCAAAAGTTGGTTTGGTCATTTAGTCGCATTTTAGCTTGAGGACGGCAGATTAGAACAAAACAAAGGAGCGCGAAACAATCACGTCTGTTCAAGTATTTGGCGCTAAAATCCTGCCGAATACTTTTGCCTAATATTCGGTCAGGGGCCTCGCCGAATATTTGGTATACTGCCTAATATACTATTCGTTGCAAGTGTAATGTGAAACCAAAATCATGTAAGTTGCAGTTAATTGACTTTTCTTAAAAGCTAACCTTCGCTCATATTTATTGACAACTAATGTACTAGTCAATAAATATGAGTGATTTGGAATGATTTATTTATATATGGTAGAGATACAATGACTATTCACAACATTTGTTAGTTTTTTGAAAATACCACAGGAACCTTACATTCTTTCGGGTTAAAAAGTATTCTGAACGTAATCCAGTTAACCCTAACTAAAATAATGAAGCTGAAGAGTTTGTTTAATTTTTGGTTAAACATCTCAGGAATACCGGTTCGAATTTAATAATTCTTTTTGTATTGATCAATCCATTTGTTGAGAAAGGCTACATAAAATGACGCTACGACCAATAGGAGCAGAGTATCAATGAAAACACTGACGTGCGCGAAGCGTGTGGCGACGTAGTTGCGGATGGCGCGCAGCTAGTGTAGTGTGGGTGTGTGAGGAGTATACTGACGTGCGCGTATTGCTGGTCGAGGCGCGCGGCCTGCAGCAGCCAGGCGGGGTACGCGACGTAGTTGCGGATGGCGCGCAGCTAGTGTAGTGTGGGCGTGTGAGGGGTATACTGACGTGCGCGTAGTGCTGGTCGAGGCGCGCGGCCTGCAGCAGCCAGGCGGGGTACGCGACGTAGTTGCGGATGGCGCGCAGCTAGTGTAGTGTGGGCGTGTGAGGGGTATACTGACGTGCGCGTAGTGCTGGTCGAGGCGCGCGGCCTGCAGCAGCCAGGCGGGGTACGCGACGTAGTTGCGGATGGCGCGCAGTTTGCGCAAAGTTTTGAGACGCGTGCTGCTGTCCATCCAATCCAGCTGCTCCACCTCGTCGGCAAACGCATGCCGGACGTCCTCAACCATCTCGATGGCCTATCAGAGTTCAATCATACGGGCAATTTTAGTACTTATGTTCCTTAATTGATTGATTGATTCTATTATTTATAGCATCGTTATAGATACTTCATATTGATCTCTTGCTAAAACACATGAAAAATATTACCTATTATCAATATTTTAGTATCTTCCAAAGTTCAGTGATTCGAAACCGAAAGTAAAACTATTTCATATCTTGGCGAACGGTTATGCCAAGACAGATGATTATTTTAGTGCAAAGTAATAAGGCTTTCAAAAACACAAAAAAAACTACGCTAACGTTAAGAAATAAAAGTTTCACTTTAAAAATTAAAGGAAATCTGAATGTCTTACCTTCTCCCTTGAGTGGTTGGCGAAGTGCCGCCTGACGTAGAGGTAGCTGAGCGCGACGCCGAAGTTGGCGTTAACGTTGGCCGTGCACGCCTTCCAGCGCGGCGTGCGCTGCTGCAGCCCGAAGACCGCGCGCGAGAACTCGAATCCCAGCTCGCGGAACGACGCGCGCGACATCGGGGCCAGCGTCGAGAACACCGACCACCACAGGAACCGCTCTTCGCAACACACAGACAGACACACGATCACAATCCACACAAATTACACTCGGTGTATAGCGCGAGAACACCGACCACCACAGGAACTGTCCTACGCCAACACACAGACAGATAGACAATCAGTACCAGTACAGGTGTATAGCGCGAGAACCATTGACCACCACAAGAGACATGCTACATCATCTCACACTAAGACACAAAATCATACCCAAATAAAAAAACTCACTATACATCTAAAATTATTATTGGAAAAAAGATAAGTTGGCCTAGGTATCAGACTAGAATCGATCCAGCGTCCTCCACTATTTGGGCGAATAAACTGACTGCAATGCTAGTCTGTCTGTCAATGCGCCGCAGTGATTTCAAACGGGTGAAAATCCAATGGTATTTAATAGGTACTAAAAAAGAACTCTGAATATCAAGGCGATAGGACAGAATTGATTGGTTAGAATTTAGGGGTGATGAACTGGTTAGCTCTTTTCATTTGTACCTCTCGCTCTCTTAGATGACACTTTGAATTTGCTTTGACCCAATCAAAGCTAAATAAATGTGACAGTATCTACTGTACCCTTAGCAAGAACTATCAATATCGAATTCGTAACGTTTGCGAGTCCGAAATGTCATACTCATTTTTAGTTTTCGTTACGTACTTTGTGAAATTTGACATTGACATTTCGGACTCGCAAACTATTCGAATTCGACATTGGTTTGTGCTAAGTTTTGTGATATTCTTCTCAAATCTTTTATTAAGGTAGTTGGCGAATGCCTATTGCTTTAAATTGCTCTAAAGGCGAATGAGACATCATTGATAAGTACGTATAATTGATTATGAAATGGTGTAAGTATCAAAAACATTAAATAGCGTTGGTAATCGTGAATTTTAACTCTCACTATCTTTTGATTTAATCTTTACGTTAATCATGGTCCGTTTAAGCGTTTATCTCTTCACATTTTATAAATTCTCGTAACGTAACGTAGGTCTAATCTAAGAAAGTTTAAATTGTTTAGATTTTGCAAGTCATAGTGAAGAGCACAATTACAGAAAGTTGTACAGTTTTTATCAGTAGAACTTAGATACTAAATAAAATAGAACATGGTGTAAGCACATGAAGGTATTTATTTTGCTTTGATAGTTTAGTTTGACTAAAGCAATCGGTGACCAACGAATAAACATAGAGCAACATGACCAACAGCAATGCCACTAGTGATGAACAAGAATTTGAATTGAATGTATTTGAAAACTATAGTTTGTTTAATCCATTAAGTTTAGAGAAGTTTTTGTGTTTATACGAGGCTGTTGCTCTTACGTGGTTCTATCCCCTAGGAACATAAGTGGGTTTAGGATATCGGATATCGGTAGGTTATATCAAGGTGAATACTAAAAAGCAAATCAAATCGGAAGACTAATGCTTCCGGAGATTGGGCCATAACCCACAACGCGGGCTCAATGCGTATTGGCGGGTACTAATGACTGCAGATGCAGCTGGGACGAACGGCTTAACGGCACGGAGGAACTCGAGATAAAAGATTTTTGGTCACCCATTCATGACTGATCACTGCGAAAGTTGCTTCACTTCAATGATCGCAGCCGAACGCGAATGAACCATCTGCGCCTCGAGCTCCTCAGTACCGATGAAGATCTAGACACGGGGGAGGCACTGACCGATCAGTAAGGGCGGGGCGGTGGCCAGCAGCGCGGCCAGGCGGTGCAGGTAGGGCAGGTCCATCACGATGACGCGGTCGGCATCCTGTAGCTGTACGTCGCTGTCGCTGAACACCAGCTGCAGGTATCGCTCCCAGTCGTGCTGCCCGAGTAAACGATTAACACGTCAATTTCAAACACTGGCACCACAGAATATAAAACCACTTTCTATATTTTACGACTATCACACACTGGTGAGTTCATATGCAGCTCTACCGTAGAGCAAGTGGGGAGAAGTGGAAGATGCCAAAAGGACAATTTATCTTCCAGTGCTGTCCATGTGATTTCAGAATGAAGTATAACAGCATTGAAACTATATCCAAATCATTTACTGTAATCATTATGATAGAACAACCTTATGCAATGTATTATACTAAAACACTCTAGTTCTAGTTCTATCTAGTTTACTTCATTTGGTAACTGAATTATTCCGAGACCATTCCTAAGCTTGGGTTAATTACGTAAAACACAAGTGTTATTTATGGTATCTCAATTATTCAAGTTAACCTTATTATACTGTCTGATAAATTTACAAAGTTATGACTATCAAAATCGAAAACTGTGGACAGGTCTTGAGGACAAATATAAGTTGAATTACTATTTTCATAAAAATCTAACATAACATTATTTAATTGATGCAGTTCATTCCTACTTTAATTTTATTGAAAAGGTGATGGTCAATAAATTTTTATTCATGTCAAAATGTTACTTATATACAAAATCTTACCAATATATTGTTTTAAACTTTCATGGTCACTAACATTATAGTAATATAATTTATTTACGGGATTGTTACCATGTACCTTGTTTTTAGCGAGTTTCCGATATTTCGGCACTGTTGCAAGCGCCATGATCACGGAGTAACTGAAGTAGGTAATTGCGGGTAGGCTGTTATTGGCAGACATATCGGTCTGCCCTCCGACGAAGTCTTTTATTCAATTCGATATCATGATCATGGATCATGACCGTGATCATGGGCGCTTGCAACAGTGCCGAAATATCTGAAACTCGCTAAAAACAAGGTGCATGGTAACAATCCCGTAAATAACTTATATTACTATAAAATCTTACCAATTTCCATTCGGCCGGTCCTCCGTTGGAGCCCTGAATCAACTGCAGCACATTGACTTCATGGAACAGGTGAGTCCCGCTGCGGCGGACTTCTACAGGAGTCATTATCTATAAGCACATCAGTAGGTGAAGCTAATGCTAGTGACAATATCCAAGTAAATGTATAAATTTCACTTCGAAATAACGAAGACATCACAAATACATCATTCATACCCCAGAAAATATACCTAATGCCAGTGACGTTATCCAAATAAATGTATAAATTTCACTTTGAAATAGCGAAGATATGACAAATACATGATTCATAAAAAAAAGGAAAGGCTAGTTTTCCGGATATCAGATCACAAATATAGAAATGGCGTCTTCGTGAAATCCGGTGCCCTAGCTTAGCTCCTGAGGGGCTCAACATAGAGATGATTTTAAACCTGTTTTACTAGTGATTTTAATTTTATATCCCCAAAATACATGCATGGACTAATCGCACTTTCTTTGAGGAAAATGGTAGTTTTTTCTTCGTATGTGTGATTGTGTGCCTCATCAGTGAGGTAGTTAAAAAATTTATTGAAACGCTAGTGCTGTCAATGGTATCAGTAAATTATCATTATAATTACAATGAGACTTGTAGCTTATCTTTAGAATCTTCGGCCACAAGCTCCTCTACCGGTGGATTCATACGCGATAGCACTCTTTCGGATATTTAAATAAACAGACCAAATACGAACCTTAGCGAGGCTCTTGCTGAAGTCAACGATGTCGTCGGCGAAGCGGTCGGCGTCGGCTTTGGGGTCGGCGATGGCGATGACGTCACGAATGTATTTGCGGTACTGCGCCACCTCGTGCGCAAATTGTTCTGGCTGCAGCAGGTAGCGGTCGCTGAACCCGGGTGACACTTGCTCGATCTACGTATAGGGAATATAGAATTTAGTTACCATTGGCACAGTCGTGCAACCATAACACAATTCGGGTTATGTCGGCTAATTAACATATTTATGGTTTTGTTTGGGGAATCCGATCCTTGGGTGGGCTCCACTTTTAAAGATACAGAAAAGATTTCTAACCAAAGTTACCAGTTAAAACCAGTTTAAAGGACCACGCACAATGGTAGGCGGACATGCAAAAAGTTGTAGATGATATGAATATTGCTACTGACGACGAGCAGGAACCACCCTGCTAGTATTCAGTACATCCTCAGCGATCTGCACGCTCAGCAGCACATTGAGGCCGAGCATACGGCGCGCATGACCGGCTGCCTCTATTCACATGAAGTGAGCGGGCATGCAATACAGTGGTTAAACGAGCTGAATGCGTCTACTGACCACGATGCGGTTCCTGCTAGTGTTCCTGACGTCCTCAGCGATCTGCACGCTGAGCAGCACGTTGAGGCCGAGCATGCGGCGCGCGCGGCCGGCCGGCACCACCCAGGTGAAATTGACGGTTGGTTCGCTGGGCGGCAGCGGGGGAAGACCCAGCTTCTCCAACACTTTTTGGATGGGTTTTATGCCTTCAGCTTCCAACTTTTCTGTATATAAATAAATATAATATTAAGAGAAGTCCGACGGGCCATACGCTTGTTTGCAACACATTTAACTTAAAAAAGGTTTAATAGAAATCCTCGTTTCAATGAGCTTAAGAATAACTTTTAAACTTCTTCAAATCACCTATCATGCATGGTCGCTGTAATTACAACGATTCGTGTTTTTGCTTGGAATTTTTTTACAGGATCGTATGTGTGATAGATTTAACGCCATCTAGGTAAGCTTGTTCAGATTAAAATTTAGTAAGCCATGAGAATGAAAGTAAGTAGAAGAATGTGGTTCCGAATCCTGATGAACTAACCGACATTGTTACAGGTCCTGTAAAGCGACTTGGCCTTCTTCACGCTTGCTGGCAGATCGGGCTCGTCATCAGCCTCGAGGAGTTCCCTGAGGTCGCTGACTAGCTGTTCCCGCAGCTTGGCCAGCTGGTCCCAGGACGTGGACCACTCGGGTACCGGGTTCTTTTTGATCCAACCGCCGCACGCGAACTCGTAGAAGTCGGTACACGGATTCACCTCTTTGTTTAAGGACTCGAGCATCCTTGAAGCTGTCGTATAGGAAAAGGAAAAAAATAGTTTTGTTAAAACTATTGAAAGTGTCTTAATTGTTTTTTGCAATTTATTCTCACTTACGTCATAATTAAGAGCAACGAAAAATCTGAAATGAGGTTTTATTTAGAACAAGAATCGCAAGAAAACTTAGGCTAAAGTTAAACTTGGAATAAAACTGATGCTGTCACTTTTGTTTGCTAAAGAGAAGACAAAGACAACATTAGGTTTAAACCAAGCCTAAATTTTAGTCCGCGTTTTGAAATAAGGCAGCAGTTTAACCTTCAAGCAAGCGATTTAACAACGCTTCATTTCAGCGTTAAGCTAAAACTGAAATAAATAATTTTTAAAATATTGATTGATCTTACAGCGGCTTCAATGATATAGGCAAGTTATTTTATAAATTACTTATAGTTATTCTATGGGATTTTTTTTCAGATTCAATCATTCAATCATCATTTAACCAGAATAAATAACTCTCGAAATTATTTTGTAGTTTGTATAACGAAGAACGTAGAAGTAAGGGATCATACTATCATCAATTAAACATACATAACTTCATATTAAATAATAAACATGTGGTATATTTTTTCCAAACATCCATAAAATTAAAATGCATATGTCATATATTATTTGTACACGAGTAACATTAATTACTTTGATAGTGCTGAGTCACTGGTTCAATAAGTGCGCACTTGTCACATCTCAGACGCAAGAAGCGCAATGGGATCATCACTTTGCATCATTTTCTCGCAAAAACGGCGCAATTCAAAACAATTATGTAAACAGATCGGTAAGCCACGTGCCAACATGTATCGCCACATGGATATATTACATACTTCAAGTTCTTTCTTCGTTAAAAATTATACGACCACCACACCAGTCCTTGTAGCATGATCACCGCAATTTACATTATATCACGTTTTTATAACATTGAATTGTCAAACTCTATAGTAATTTGAGAATTGAGCGTGATAAAAACGCGTTATATAACATATCGCGGTGCTCATGCTTGGGGGCAGGAGCGCCATAGGTATAAACAGTTAGGTAGGCGTTTCCAGCGAGTATCTTTAGTTTCTTAAATTATTTCCTTAAAAACATTCTACAAAGTAGTTAGGTATTGGAAAGTTTTGAAAAAAGACGGATGAATGTTCGGGATGCGAGCGGTGCTTAGTATGTCTTAAAAAAATTGTACAGAAAATTGTTTTTTCCAAAGACATTGTTAAATTATTATGATTCGGAAAAAGACGATTATATCCATAAACTTAACTTTCTTATCATTCAATCTTATGCTAATAAATCATTAGTTGTATATTAATAATGCCGCTTTAATAGTTTTAAATTTGTATCCAATTTTGCTTAAGCGATGCTACACAATGATAATAATTGTTGCTGCATAATTTCAAGCATTCTTCTTGTCTCAACAATCTCGATGTTAATGACACATTGATGCTCCATTTACATTATAATATATGACTTGACTCGGAAAAATGCTTTTAAAACGTGTGGACTACTTTATGATGCCACGTGGATTTACATAAAAGTATTACAAACATTTTAGTCTGACGCAAACTGTAATTAAACCTATTTACTATAATAATCTAATATATAAAATTCTCGTGTCACGGTGTGCGTAATTGAACTACTCCGAAACGGCTCAACCGATTTTCGTGAAATTTTATATGCATATTCAGTAGGCCTGAGAATCAGACAACATCTATTTTTCACACCCTTAAATGTTAAGGGCTTAACTTTTTTGTTTTTTTGGCAAATTTTTTGTTTTTTTTTTATTCATATATACATCATACAAAAATACATACAACCTTAAATTTTCACCCTTCTACCACCAACCCCTATTTTTTAAGACGGTACGAAGTTCGCTAGGACAGCTAGTAATAATATGTAAACTACCTCCTGTTTACATTAAATAGGTCTGCGGTAGGTATCTATAGTCACTATATTTTTTCCAAAAACAGTAAGCCAGGTAAATTCATCTTTACAGAGAAATATTTTAGGAAATTTCTGACTTTTAACTGTATTTTTTTCCTGTACTTTAACCTTTAAGAACCTTTAGTTTTAGTACGGATGATAAAAGAAATGAATAATGTTTCTTTTCAATTCTTTCCAAAGATTTTCCATTGAAATTCCAAAGAATGTTTTTATAGATAATTTATAGGTAACTAAACAATGATTTTGTAGGTAAAATTATACAAATAAAATGATTTTTCTTAAATAACTAATACTGTTTCATTACTTCTATCCGTTTTTTTACCATTTTACTTACCTGCATGTCTCAAAAATTTTGACCTTATCATGTAAGGTTGCTTGTATTTCATGTTACTCTAAATGTGATAGAAAATGTAGGGCATAGCAGACTTCACGCACGAACTGGAGCGCCCCCGTCTGGGGAAGTAATCTCCCCTTACATAGAATCACAGTAAAATATCACTACCTTTTAGTGAGATTGTGGTTCTGTCGGTGATTAAGGTTTCAGGACTACACGGGGTAGGTTTTTTAAATATTTAAATATTTCCAACACTCTCACCAATTACACTAGCACACACCAATTAACCTAGCCCTAAAATAAGCACAGTAAGGCTTGTGTTATGGGATACTAGGGCAACGGAAAGAATACATGTACAGTATATATATAAGTATATTTATATAGAACTAAAGTACAAATGCTCGTATTCATCACAAAAACATCTGCCTCCACCGGGATTCGAACCTCGGGACCTCTCGAGTCAGCGAAACTATGAAACCCGGCGTACAAACCACACGGCCACGGAGGTCAACTAAATTTGGGCCAGGGTAGGCAACAGAGCGAGTGATATATTTGGTATCGCAAGCTTATATACAGTATGGCGGCCGCGTACCCTTAAAAAGGTGATGGAGTGTTATGGCGGTTATAATTATCGTTGAAATTTTTCTACACTTTTTCAAAGTCCGTCAAAGAAACGTTACTTATTGCTTATTATAATAGTGGCAACTAAATGCGATAGTTTTGTAATAAAAGGCCAATTTGTCAGTTTCTTAATAGATTTGCAATCGGTGCTATATAGTGACAAAGAGTGCGGAGCGATTTCCTTTATTCTCGCTAGTTTTGCTGAACACTTCCGTTGATGAAACTAATGGGAATTTTCATCGCACTAGTTTAGTATTTTTTTAAATAAAACAAGTTTCAACGGTATAGGTGCACTGATTTATATATTTATTGACGTTTTGATTTTTATTGAATAAAGTATATATAAATAATAAGTCTTTCGAAGGTAGCTCGACAAAGTAAATAATATCATTATTCAGACGACGAAACGTCAATAAATAAATAAATCAGTGCATCTACACCGTTGAAACTGGTTTAATTTATTGAGTGATGTGCGTGAAAACCTAAGAAACAAATAGTATTCTTTTATCACATTATAATTGATATCGAATTTAAATTCAAATATCCACTGACCTGTAGCGACGCACTCCTCGCTGAGGCAGGGCCGCGGGCTCTTGTACTCCCCCAGCACCAGCACCGTGGTGTACACCCCCAGGGCTATCAGCGACAGGCCCAGCGCGCCGATCAGCACAGATGAACATCGCACTGTGCGCTCACTGTTAAAAAACAAAAAAGAAACTGTAATGGCAAAAAGCATTTTTTTTATTTTTCAAATAAGGACCTTTTTAAAATCATATTACGAGTATATATTTTGGGGCACAACCGCATTTTAGAACAAGACAAAATGCTTGAAATTTTCGTTTTATCTGAAAATAGTTTTTTAAAAAGATGTGGTCATCCCCGAATGACTCAAAATAAAGGATGACTTTGAAAGTCGAAACGATGGATGTAAGACCCGTCCTGCGTCCGTTGTTTCGTTTTTCAACCAAAAGCTTGAAATTTTTGCTTAATCTGAAAATAAAGGTCTTCAAAAATCTGTAGTCATCTCCGGCTGACTAGGGATGACAGATAACGTTGAACGTCCGTCGCTTCGACTTTCGACCCATCTATGCAACCCTCGGGTCATGGCAAAAAGTATTGTTTTTTTTAATTAGTACTTGAATTAACATCATATATTCTGAGACATAACTGTGTTTAAGATACAAAACAAAATGCTTGAAATTCTTGCTAAACCTGAAAATAAAGCTCTTTCTAAAATTTGTGGTTATCCGGGTCTAGCGTTGTTTCGACTTTCGACCCCCTTGCTGACCCCGGGGTCGAACAAAACTAGTGGGACAAAAATTCCTATTAGTTCAGTCAACGGAATTAATGGGAATAAAGAGAATCCCACCTACCTTTTCAACTGGGTCGTTTCGCACCGTACACGGCGAATATACGATAGACCAATATTTATTACTAAGCACATCTATAGCTTACTATGACACCATCATCCATCGTTTCGGAGGACCAATTTAGATATTGTCTCATTATCACAAAACTCTTAATTGGCAACGAGCCGGCTGTGACCCGGTTTCATAATCGGCTGCTGTTTTAAAAGTAAACTGTCTCTTACAATTACCAAGCTAACTATATCAAAACGTTGATCTTCAACTTATTTCAGTATTACTAACTGATTATATTACTCAACTGTCGTTATTATATTATTGCATGAAATAAAAACTGATCGTTAGTTACGTAACACACGAATAAATCAGTTTTACTTTGTTATATTTTATTAGATGCAATTAGATTAATTTTGCAATACTTTACTTAAATGAGTACTCATGCTGATGACCTATTAAATTATTTATTTTGAAAATTCTCAATACTAATACTGCCTTCTTACACATACAAATCTTTGCCTATTAACTATATCTATATCGGCTTTTATTGTCTGCACAGGAAAATTGGTAGCTGACACATTCCATGTTTTCCCACTTACAGCGAAGTATGTAGTACAAATGTTACGAGGAAAGAAACCATTACTCACGAGTATTTATTTTGGGTCTATTAATAGAGCTCAGAACTGGTCGTGATTTATAATTTCAAAGATATTTTGGTTACAAAAGTATAAAACAACATCCTCGACTGAGTGCGGTAGTGACCACGGTAGCATAATTGGTCAGTGCATTCGCCTGGATAGCGGATGCGGGTTCCGTGTTTTTGATAAAATAGTAATTACCTAGTTTTAGTAGGACAACAACACATAAGATTTTTTTTAACGCTAGGATTAGAGCGCCGCCCGTCAGTTGAATTCATTTGTCTACTACAATAAAAAAGTGTTCGTAAAATATTTCTTTTTGGTACAATGACTAAGGTTTTCTTCGAGCTCGCAGGAGTCAACATGAGGGTTTAGGCTCTCATCATCTACTTTTAAGCTTCAAATCCCAGTGCGGATACCGCGGTGAAAAAAGATTCTGTTCTTACAGAATGCACCGCGGAATCCGCGCTGGGATTTGAAATTTGTATTCATTCTATCCGTTGCCCTAGCCCTATAACACAGCCTTACAGTGATTTCTGTGGGACAAGGCTAACTGCTGTGTTAAAAAAAACAAGTAGTAACAGGGGCGCATTACCCTAATGCCAAGAGGTCATGGCCTGGAACGAGGGCAGGCTACGAGGGGCTGGTGCAAGAGTTGAGAGGGGCGGATAAAGCCATATCAAGGCAGTCGATACTGATGTAGACTTTTCATTTGATTAAATTTTCGTTAATGGGGCGCCAGATTTTAAAATACGCCCCTGGTGGTGAAGCTGCAGAAAACTTCATGCACCCACTGCAGTTGTTGTTGTTAGCGTGCTTTGGAATTACACCTTCGTAGGTCAATTTATGTCTCCTAGCAGGATAGGGGCGGATGATTCCGCGGCGATGCAGATGCCGGCGGCGGTTCATTGTTGATCACAATTTCACTTTCCAATTGAACTGAACGTGGTTGCAACATCTATCACCGGAAACGGCAAGGACGTATCGGGCTATATGCCCGTTGTTCCGGTACGTAACTGTGATTTCAATGGTAACGCCACCGATAACGAATTTCACTTTCAAAATTAGTAAGGTGATCGAACTTAGCTATGTATATATCAGTAGGTAACCTGAAATCGAATTCGGTAATAAACACTCAGTACAAAAATAAAAATAACTATGTATACATCGAGCAGTTAAATACATAAAAAATAAATAACTATAATTGCTATTTCTTCCTTCAAATGTTTAATATCTGTAAGGGTCAGTAAGGGTATTCATTTGACAATGTGAGTTACCTACAATGCAGAGATGCTAAAAGAATCGTGAATAACTTTTATCGTCAAATTAAGGACTGAATGTATAATTTCAATGTAACGATGGGGAAACAAGAGCTTACATTTTATAAAAATAAATTACCGTGGATAAATAGTATAGGAAAGCTTTCTGCATTAATAAATTATATTAATATAAAACAACAAGACTTCCTTACTAAAGCTATTATAACTATTATAATGTATTATTTATTTTATCCGATACGCATCGTGATCACGCCACTATTTGAGTAATGTACGATTACAGGTTCCCAAGAAATGTTTGTTTTACCCAAGAACTAAACAGATTTCATGTAAGCGATGTTGCTATGCCATTGCACTTCCTCGAAATTTTTGAATTCGCAAAACAGATGACGTAATATTATCAAAACAGCCTACATAGAATGGAAAACCACAGACTAGCAATGTAGATCAAAATCAGCTAACGGTGACTCGTAGTTAGTTAGAAAAAACAAAAGAACTGTTTTTGAATTCAGCATTCGAAATGTTGCTAATGTAACATACAGACTACAGACTCATTGGAATGTTAGGTCAATTTTGAACATCGGCGCGTTGAGTCGTCGCAACTCTTCGCGTCATGTCAGTTAGGTTGTATTTCATTAAGGGTTAATCTTAATGAATCATTGAATTAATTCGCGTATTTGGAATACTGAGCAAAATATACAAATGTCTTTTTAGTTTCTACACAATGCAATGTTGTTCATAAATTACTTACCTATTACCGAAATTAGAACAGGAAAGTCAGGGCCGGATTTAGAGTGTCCCCTTATTCTGGGCCCGGCCACTTATGATTTGCACAAGACTCGTGACCCCTTGAAATTTGTTTTTTTATCTCTGTTGTGGGAGGCCCTATTTGTGAGGGCCCCTGGGTCACCAGCCCGCCTGCCTTCAATCCGGCCCTGAGGACAGCATTGACAATTCCATATAATATATTATTATAAGGTTTCATTTCGCTAAACTTCAGCTTAAAGCCCACATTAAATTATAGGGGCAATGGGATTTGATGCTGCTCTTTAACGACGCGACATATTATCTAACCATGTTCCATAACAAACTCCTTTGGCTATGCCATTGAATGCCGCAGCTCTATGCACGACCTCGATGCACGTCTGCGGAGGGTTCATTACCTGAGACACAGGATCCATCCTAGTTCAGGTGTCAACCCATCATAGTCTGATCAATAATATAATAATAATATTAATATATCGGATAACAATGGATCCATTAGGTTAGTAACAAACAGATTACCTACCGGTAAAATGGTCCTACTTTGCTCCAATATTTGCCCCCAAAAAGGGAATTATGAATATTGTTTACACTATTAATTATGAAATATATTCAGAAGTATTAATTTAAAGAATAATATGTTATCTAACATATCTTTAAAGTTAAATCAGCGTAATGAAGTATTTCATAATATATATAAAACTATGAATAAGGAGCAAAGTTACCCATGGTCATGGGTAACTTTGTTCCTGGGTATATTCCACAAACAATCTCCAGTGTAGAAGCTTTTTAAGCAAAGTTATGCTTTCCTTAATCAAACTATGCTCCAGTAATATTACGCTTTACCTTTTTTGATAGTATATATATTTGATAGGTCGAAAAATGGGTAACAATTAAGATAAACCGTGTTTTGAAAGAAATAATGTTATTTTCTTAAATTTAGTTACAAAATCACTTTGTTTCATTAGTTAGTTTTTTTATATTCTTAAACTAAAATATATATCTATAATATATCTTTACTAGAAACTTTATTTACAAAAGCTGAACAAAAATCAGCCGAAATTAACTAACGAGCTAAACTTACAAAAAATTAAAACTTTAAAGTTATAAATTAAAAAAAAAACCCCAAGCGTTCAGTTCAGGAACGGAATATATTTCACTGCGGATACTAATTTTTTTAGGGACATTTATACGTCCCAATATAACTTGCCAATCGAATTGAATTTCATCGACGGGTTTAGGCCACGTCCAGGATTTCAGCGACTTCTTCATTAAACAGATATATCCCCTTCTTTAGTTATTTTTGTAATTTCCTTGATAAATAGTGTATTAATTACCACTTACAATGAATAAAAAATGTTTACTTTTTAAAAGGCTTATGTTTGGGTTTAGTTTGCTCCAGGCGTTACCCCATCGTACCAAAGAAAATATGAGCACGCCAAAAATATGAGGTTAGATTATGACCAACTCAGCAATCCAATAAAATATTTACGTATTCGTTTACCTGATTATATAATTAATAACATTAAAACATAATTACCCCAATGCATTATGCAGATTTCAGGATAGAAGTGGCTCTTTCGGATACAAAAAAAAATAACTCTTAAGGTCTTGCACTACAGCTGCTGCACATGACTTATAAAAATATTGCATATAA